AGCTGTGGCTACTGGGAGACCCTGTGTCAAAAAGACCAAAAAAAAAAAAAAAAAATCTTGGACCTTGGCATTGGTGCACATCATTAATTCTAACACTTGGGAGGACGAATTAGAAGAATAAGAAATTCCAGGCCAGACTGGACTACCTGGAGAATCTGCCTCCCCAACTCCCCCCCAAAATTTCATAGCAAGAGCCATGAGACATTGTGGGGGGATTCTGATTATCATCTCAGTAAGCTTAAGAGCCTAACAAAGGGTTTCTATAAATCAGTAAGAAATGAAGTGATACCCTAACAGAAAACAAGCAAATCTGAGCATAACGTACACTTGTGGCAAATGACTTTCCTTTTAAACACATAAAAAGGTAGTCTTCAAAATGAAATATAAGTATATTATATTAAGAAGCTATTTTCCAGCTATCTCACTAGCAGAGTAAGAAAGCTGGTAAGAGAATACGTTGGTGAAGGTATAGGTTAACAGGTACTCTCATATAATACTAGTGGCAATGAAAGTTGGTATCTTTTTTATTTGAATTAAGAGTCTGACCAGGCTGGCCTTCAACCTGCAGGCAATCCTCCTGCTGCTCAGCCTCCCCAACTGTTGGGATTATAGGCATAAACTACCACACCTGGTTCAAGTACAACATTTATGGAGGGTAATTTGACAACCTTTATCTTTTGTCCTTCCTTCTTTCCCCTTACCCTCCTCCCTTCTGTCCTTACTCCTCCTTCCCTCCCTCTCTCCCTTCCATTTCGGTGTGGTAAATACATAGGCATGTACATGTGGGTGAGAAGAGACCAGAGGCTGAAGTCAGGTGTCTTAACTCTATCACTCTCCACTTTATTTTTTGAGACAAGGTCTTTCAAGGAACCTGGAACTTGCAGTTTCAATTAGACTTGGCTGGCTAATCAGCAAGCCCCCAGGATTTGCCTGTCTCTGCTCCCTCAGCACTGAAGTTACAGACACATGCCATCATGCCTAGCTTTTATGAGTGCTGGGGATTTGAACTTGGGTCCTTAAGTTTGCATAGAAAGCACTTTATCCTTTGAGTCATCTCCCCAGCTCTCCACTTGGCTGGCCTGAAACTTGCTGTGTAGAACAGGCTGGCGTAGAACTCAGAAATAACCCTGCCTCTGCCTCCAGAGTGCTGGGATTTGCATGGTTGGTTAACATAAGCATTCATGTTTTGTTTTTCGCTTTATGGGACAGGGTCTCCCTGTAGCCCCAGCTAGTCTGGAACTCATATGTAAACCAGGCTGGCCTTGATCTCACAGAAATCTGTCTAATTCTTGTGTGAGACTCAAGCCTTCAAGTTTAGGTCTGATTCTTTTTCTAAACTTTATGCACCTTTGTGCTTTACTTTTGGGGAATGAAAAGCTGGTCGGGGGGAGGTGGGAATAGGAAGGTAGATAACGAACTTTCTTCTTTACAAGGTCTCCCTGTAGCCCCAGCTGTCCTGGAACTCACTATGTAGACCAGGCTGGCCTCCAACTCAGAGATCCGCCTGCCTCTGTCTCCCGAGTGCTGTAAAGAATGCTTATCATAGCTGGGCGTGGTAGCTCACACCTTTAATCCCAGCACCTGGGAGGCAGAGGCAGGAGGATCTCTGTGAGTTCGAGGCCAGCCTGGTCTACATAGTGAGTTCCAGGACAGCTGGGGCTACAGGGAGACCTTGTAAAGAAGAAAGTTCGTTATCTACCTTCCTATTCCCACCTCCCCCCGGCCCTATATAAATGAATTATACAACTCATTTATGATATCCTCTTCACCGGCTATGCATGGCTTCCTTTTATTATTTAATTTATTTAGGATCAGCAAGATGGCTGCCAAGTCTGAAAACTGGAGTTTGATCCCTGGGACCTGACATGGTGGAAAGAGAAAACTGATTCCTGCAAGTCATTCTTTGATCTCCACAAGTGCACCAAAGCACATGCATGCCTATACCCACATACACAAAAGAAATAAAAATATATAATTATTTACGTAAATACAACAAATATCAGAGAAACAAGTATCTAACAGTTGCACCAAAACACTGACATATTTACCTCTCTGCTTTATCCTCCATAATAGTCTCCCCCATCAAGTAACCACCTGAATCTTGTGTTTATTATTCTTTTGCTTTAAAAAGGCATCTATTAACCTAGGTATTGTGGCAGATATCTATAATTTCAACACTTGGGAAGCAGAGGTAGAAGGGTTATAAATTCAAGGTGAGCCTAGGCTATAAAGGAACAAAAATAAACAAATGTCAAACATCTACTTTTGCTTATCACTTACATATAGAACTGAAATAGCTAAGGACATGTCTAGAGTCTTGTTAACTGTCAAATCAGCAACTGACCTACATTCAAGATCAGCAAGTTGCTACACAGTAGGAGCAAGTGTCAGTGTCAGTTTTCACCACAGCAGCAGGTTGAACTATATTTAACAGGCATCCTCTTCTCTGTTGGAAGAGTTGCAGCTGTGGTTCTGTTAGTGTAGGAACAAAAGAGGGCAAGTGGGAGGAAGAACTCTCATGGAAAGTTTTAATAGGATTCAGTTAGCTCAACCACAAACCAAAGCTCTAAGACAACTAATTTTACAATACTGTTGATTTTTTTTTTTTTTTTTAAATACAGGATCTTCCTGTAGCCCCCAGCTGCCCTGGAACTCACTATGTAGACCAGACTTTGTGGATCACAAAGATCCACCTACTGCCTCCTGGGTGATGGGATTAAAGACATGCACTACCACACCCTGTTACAAACTTTTGGTTATGTGCTCACATATGTGCCTATAGAAGAGGGCATCCTAAATCTGGACCAGGAGTTACATACAGTGTTTGAGAGCTGCCTGATGTGGGTGCTGGAATCTGAACAATACTTGGGAGGGACAATACTTGGGAGGGACAATACTTGGGAGGCTGAGGCAGGTCAGCCTGGGCTACCAAGTGAGTCCTTGCCTCAAAACAAACAAGCAAGCAAATAAAGAAAATAAGCAACCAATATACTAATAAACTCCTTTAGCACAGAGCTCTTGCCATCACAGCCTACTATTGAGCAGTAGCTGTAGTGGTATAAGAAAAAGACTGTTCTAAAAAACATTCAAATCCAGTCTCAGCTCTGGGGCATAATTACTACTGGTATGGCCTTCACAAAGTCCAACTCTGTAAATGTTACTATCTAGAGCTGGGGAGATGTCTCAGCAGTTAAGAGCACTGGCTGTTCTTGCAGAAGACCCAGGTTCAAATCTCAGCACCAACATGACAGCTAACAACTGTCCTCAACTCCAGTTCCAGGGGATACAACGGCCTCTTCTGTCCACTGTGGGCATTGCACATGGGTGCACTTATGTACATGCAGGCAATACACACATACACATAAAACAAAAATAAATAAATCATTTTAGAAAATGTTACTATCTACTCAGAGAAATGGTAAGGATTAGCCTAAACAACAAATAGGAAAATATTATGTAGGTTTTAGGTGTTCTAGTTTATAACAAATAACCTGAAACATCCCCTCATGTCTTACAAACCATCTACTACTGCGTCATTTGTTCCCTTGCCAAAGAATCATGCTCTTCCAGGCAAATCTATCTGGGTTGCCTTTTGATACTGATTCACTGAAAAATATACTCATCATCCTAGACACATGTCACTGACTCATGGAAACCTTGCTGAGTGGTTCCTATGAAATCTGTCATACATCTCTCTGCTAATATTCTGATATGAATACTTGGTTATAGTAACTCTGACTGCCTGCATTGTATAAATATCAGTCAGGTACTATGTGTGACTAGAAAGCCCCAGAAGACAAGTTGCATCTTATTTGTCTTCCTTGCCCCTTGCCTTACAACCTGACATTTATTGCTAGCTTTTCAACTAAGGAGTGAAGCAGGGTGTGGTAGCACACACCTTTAGTCCCAGCACTATGGAGGCAGAGGCAGGCAGATCTCTGTGAATTCAAGGCCAGTCTAGTCTACATATGGAGTTCCAGGCCAGCTGTGACTACAGGGAGGCCCTGTCTCAAAAAGCCAAAAAAAAAAAAGCAATCGATTAAGTAGTGAATTTAACTGCTCCATATCTCTAACAGGAGATGGCTGGTTTAGAATTACTTTCCTATGCTGGGCTTGGTGGCACATTCCTTTAATCCCAGCACTTGGGAGGCAGAGGCAGGCAGATCTCTATGAGTTCAAGGCCAGCCTGGTCTACACAGTGAATTCCAGGGAGACCCTGTCTCAAAAACAAAAACAAAACAACAAAAAACTTTCCTATTATAGATTATTACAGAACTAGAGAGAAAAACAAAGTTCTATTATCCATGCTTCAGACTCTTTAGAGTTTTCATATTACATAAAAGCTATAGGTAATGCTTAACAAATATCTATTTAGACAAAATTTGACTATTATATGAACGGCAAAGGAAAGAATAAACTCGGTTCAGCATGCTGGCAGGATCACAGGAAAAGTGATTCTTTACTAGTTTGAGTCTCCTCAAGAGCAGAAATTTTTCCTTAATATACTCTTAGTATCTCCAGGATCTAGCCATAGTGCCCTATAAACAAGGAAGCCAACAATATTCATTCAATTAATGACCCTGGGGCTAGACAGACTGCTCAGAAGTTAAGAGCACTGGCTGTTCTTGCAGAGGATCCAGGTTCAGTTCCCAGGATCCACATGGCAGCTTATAACTATCTGTAACTCTAATTTCAAGGGATTCAACATCCTTATCTGGTCTTCGAGGGCACCAGGCACACACATGGTGCACATACATACATGCAAACAAACACATAAACATACACATAAATCTTGTTAGATATGTTAACACATTTCTTACAAAGTTATTTAAAAGTCCAATTTTATGCTTTTTCATGACTCTTCCTCAATTTTCAGTGCTTAAAAACACAGCCAGAGCCGGGTGTGGTGGCTCATGCCTTTAATCCCAGCGTGTACAGACACAAACACACACACACACACACACACACACACACACGCACACACGCACACATGAGCTTACCATCATCTAAAGTGATGTCCTGTAGACCAATGGTAGTAAAGTTAGGTTCCCGATCTTCCGGTTCAGGTTTAATGTTCACAGCTCCGCCATCAGGCGAAAATGATGCTGGATCACACAAACTGTGACATACTAAGGATGAAGGTACAGAAAGACCTCCCTGGCCTATACTTTGTGCTTGAGTTGAATGCTGTCCAGAATGCATTCTGGAGGTTGGAGATGGTGATGAGGCAGTTCCTGAGCCAGGAGATTGGTAAGGCATAGACTGTAGCTGAGGGGACGATGGCCCAGAAAGAGTTGAACTAGCCAGGGGATGAGCGGTTGCTGGGGAAGCTGTTGTAGCAGATCCCGGATGTGAAGGACAATATGTAATAGGCTGTAACTGAGAAGGCGGCTGACCTGTAACCTGGTCTGCCACTGGAGAAGAAAGAGATCTTTGTCCTGTGTTTGAACAATGGTATCCCATTGACTGCAGATGAGGTGGGGTTTGCACAGAATGAGGTGAATGTGCTAAGAGATGTCCTGTTGTGCCTGAATTTGAAGAATGAAATGCTACTGATGACAGTGGTTGACAGCTAAGGTTTAATAAACTAGGAAGAGCTGCATCCTGCTGAAACAAAACTGGATCAAATTCTTGACTAGAGGCAGCATTAATAGGAAGACAAGTTGGTCCACTGTACACATTATTTTGCATAGGCTGATAGGAAGACCCCATAGGAGATGCTGATGTAACTTGAAAAGGCTGGTGCACAACTGATGATGGCATTATGGGCTGTTCTTTACCAGCACCCTCATCCCTACACTGCAATTGTGGCAGATGGGAAGAGGTTACCATGGATGCATATGATGGCTGGATGGGACAAATCAAGCTTCTCTGTACTGACAGTACACTGTCATGTGGGTGCCCTGTATCTGAAGAAGGCCTCTGGGTCTGGGCAGGATGAGGCACAGGTAAAGGTGGAACTGAAGACAAATCAACATCTTCTCTTTGTTCTTGCTTCATCAAAACTGAAAATAAATGATTGACACATGTTATACAGTACATAAAATGATTATGACAAGCCTTAATTCTAGGTTACACAAGTATAGCAAGTATTCAAGCAGGATCAGGGGGATGGCAAACTCAAATGTCTTTAGGGAAGAAGTTCATGTAAAATATTCTATTTGTATGTATATATACATAAACACAAATATTTTGTTTTTCTTAAATTACATTTGTTTATTTACTGTGTGCACGAATGCACATGCAATGGTGTATCAGTGGAGGTCAAAGGACAACCTGTGGGAGTTCTTTCCTTCCTTCTATTTGTGTCCCACACTCAGGTCATCAGGCTTGGCAGCAAGTACTTTTATTTACTGAATCATTTCCCTGGCCCTATTTTGCTAATTATGTACAGATATCCTTGGGAAGATGCACAAGAAAACTGTTAGGTTTACGTTGTTTGTTTTTCGTTTTTCTTTTGTCTTTTTGAGACAGGGTCTCCTTGTAGCCCCAGCTTGTCTAGAACTATGTAGATCAGGCTGGTCATCAACTCATGGAGACCCACCTGCCTCTGCCTCCAGAGTGCTGAGGCTAAAGGCACCCACCACCATGCCTGGCCAGATTTACTTTTCAGAAGGGAAACTAGGTGATATGGAGACAGAAGAAGGGAGATTTACATTTCACCCCTCTACTGTTAATGTACATATTATATTTTTGGTCCCATTACACATAGTTCTAAGGTTATACAGAAAACATACACATGTGGTTAAGTTTTTCTGTGTATGTATAAGTATGGTGAATGCCCATGTGTATGTGGGAAGCCAGAGAAGGATATCAGTGTCTTCCTCTTCATTCTCCACCTTATTCCTTTGAGAAAGGGCCTCTTGCTAAACCTGGAGCTCAAGTTTTTCAGACAGGCTGACAACCAGCAAACTCTAGTGATCCTTTTCTTTCTGCCCCCTCAGTGCAGGGTTACAGGTATGTGCAGGACCATGCCTGATTTCTCATGTGAGTGCTGGGATCCACATTTCTGTCCTCATGCTCATGCAGCAAGTACTCTAAACCACTGAGCCATCCCTTCAGTCCTGTACCTGTTAAGTTCTAGGCTGGACAATCCCAGCACATGGGTGAATGCCCATGTGGGGGGTGGAGGTGAGGGTGGGTGGGATGGAGGGGACACAGGCAGTCTCTGAGGTTCAAGGCCATCCTGGTCTACATAATGAGTTCTAAGCCAGCTGGGGCTACAGGGAGACCTTGTCTCAAAAAAGACCAAAAAAAAGCTGTTCTAAAAAATTAATATTCTCACTGTATTAATGGGTTATTTACTTTCAATGTATACTTTTTATCCCTTTTAAAAAAAGATTTATTATTTTATGTGTATTGAGTATTTTACCTGCATGTGTGTACAGCACCTATGGAGGCCAGAAGAGAGCCTCTCAATGAACCTGAAGCCAGGCTGGTGTCCACTAAGCCTTAATGACTTTTCTCTTAGATCCCTGCCTGCCACTGCTGGGGTTACAAGTATACACCAGCTTTTTACATGAGTCTTGGGGATTTTAACTTGGGTCACCATCCTTATACAGCAACCTATTATTTGCTGAGTCATCTGCCTATCCCCAAACAAAAAATGTATTTTTATATGCATCAAAAGGATCTGGAAGCTTTAGAGTAGAAGAGAACTTGGGGATTTAAAAGTATTTTTAGCTGAGTGTGGTGGTGTATGCTTTTAATCCAGCACCTGGGGAGCAGGCAGATCTCTATGAGATCAAGGCCAGTCTGGTCTACCTAAGTTCCAGGCCAGCTGGGGCCTGGGACACAAACAAACAAAAATTCTTTCAGTCAGTATGGTGTTGCAGCCCTGCAATCATATTACTTTGGAGGTAGAGGCAGGGAAATCACAAGTTTAAGGGCAGCTTGATCTATAAACACCAAAAACAAACTTTCAACATACATTACAGAAAGAATTTATATTAATGTGTTTTGGGGGAAAAAAACTGCTCAAAATTTCATTTTAGAAAAAAATTGAAGAAAGTTGAATGTTTACAGAGAAACAACAGTCATCAACCAGAATAAGGACTGTCCAAACACTCCTGTGTGACCCTTTTTCTTTCAGTCAGTATATGCCACTTTATTTGTATTCATCAAATAAAGGTCAGTGACGACAGTCATCGTCCAATCCAATGTTCTTTTCTATTCTTGGACTCCACTGATTTCCATTCTGATCTGTAATGTCAAAAGGACTCTATAGTGTCCTCCAATTTATGAGTTGGTAACATAAAGGTAGCGTGATTTCTCTCGTTTGCCTTCTAATTGCTATCACTATATGGTAATAACACCACTAATCAGCTGACCCTACAGCTTCGTTTTCAGAAGCACTCTCCCTTATTCAGGGCAGAGTGTTGATCTCAACAGCACTTGCACAAAATATGTCTGCGGTAAGTCCCACTCTGGATGAGCCATACTATCCATATTTTATCCACTGCCTTGAAGAATCTGAGTGCTGCTTCAGAAAGTTACACAGCCAGGATAGGTAGAATCTATAAATTCATAAGTATCAAAATCAAAGATGCCTTTTAATCAAGCTTAGAACCTCACCAGTATTCTGTGGTCAATTTACCTTTCTTTACAACTATTTCAAAGCACTTCTATGGTGTTTAAAGTCAAATTACCCACTCTCCTTTGCTCACAACAGAAGACTTAAAACTATTTTTTAGGGGCTAGAGAGATGGCACAGAGGGTAAGAGCACTGGCTGCTCTTGCAGAGAACCTGGGTTCGATTCCCACTCCCTCATGGCAGCTAATAACCATTTGTAACTCCAGTTCCAGGGGATCCAACGTCCTGTTCTAGCTTCTACAGGTTTTGCATGACATGGGTGCACTTACATACATGAAAGCAAAACATTCATTCACATAAAATAAAAATTAAAGAACAAAACAAAACAAAAATTATTTGCTGTAGAAAGCCTGAAGCTGTCATATGGACTCATTAAACTCCGATTTTCAAACTATAAGCTCTGTTCATCTGTAGCCATCTTAACCATCTCCTGTTCTTTCTCTCATTTAGGGTCCATTCTAACCTATACTTTGTATTTTATTTTGTTTGAGCCATGGTCTTATTACATGGCCCAGGATGGCCCCAACTCATGATCCTCTTGCCTTAACTTAGCCTCCCAAGTTTTGAGATGACAGGTATTAACCATTATGCCTGGCTTCAACCTCTATAGTTTAAAATCTTACTTCTTTTCACCTTTTTCAGAAATGTGATAGTCTTTTGTTGTCCATGATCCCATCAACCATAAGACCTTTGCATGTGTTGCTGCCTTCTTTTTAAAAAATTTATTATTGTCTCTGTGTGTATGATGTATGAATGAGTATAGGCATACATGTGCCATGGTACATGTTTGGAGATCAAAGGACAACTTTTAGAGTTAGTTTACTTTTTGTAAAATGATTTTTTATTTGTACAAGTGTTTTGATTGCCAATATGTATACCAGTAGATGTGTAGTGTCCATCAAGACTGAAAGAAGGTGACAGAGCCACCATGTAAATACTGGGAATTAGAACAGCAAGTTTTCTTAACCCCTGAGCCACCTCTCCAGCCCCAGGGGAAGTTGGATTTTTTTCCCTTCCACCTTGTTTTTGTTGCAGGGTCACTTTGTTGTTCTATCAAGCTATATACTCCAGGCTAGTTGGCCAATGAGCTTATAGGCGATTCATCTATCTCCCTCTCCCTTTTTGAAAGGAGTGCCAAGATTATGGATGTGTGCCACCACATCTGAGTTTTGTACATGGGTTCTTGGGAACAAACTCAAGTCCTCAGGCTTGTACAGCAAGTGCTTTTTATCAGCTGAGCCATTTCACCAACCTGTATTGCTACCTTTTATCTAGAATATGTTTTCCTCACTTTAACTTAACAATTAGTAATATAAGCTCTAAGTCAAACAAACAGCCTTAAATCTTACCTTTCCCACTTATTACCTGTGTTACTTAGAAGGCAACAATACTTACCTTATGGAGTTATGGGAGAATAAATGAGTTATTATATGTGAATTGGAACAAAAGATGTTCTAAGTTTACTGAGCAGATAAATAAGGCTACAATGTACTCCAACATAACAGGAATCAAATTCTAGAGCTAAACAAAGAATTATATACTGCAAAACTGCAAAACTTTGAACATATGTAAGCACTCAATTTATTCATCTGAAAACAGGATATCTACCACCTATCTCACAGGTCTATTATGGGGATTAATGAGTTAATACAGAAAGAGGTTAGAAAAATATTAGTAACAGAATCAACATTATATAACTATTACTGTTATTTTCCAGTTATTATTTCCTATTAAATGGAAGCTTTTCTCAAGCTATTAGACTTGGTAAAGGTCTTTTGTATTTGTAGTCACAATAATTCATCCCTTTCAGAATCTTTGTCTCAATTTATAATGACACATTAGCTAGCAATTTTATTTAGTAACTTATTAACTTCTATTTGTCTTACTAGAGTATAAGATTATAAGTCTCATGCAAGAAGAAATGATATAGGTGTGCCACCTAATAGGCACTCAAAAACACTGAATGAATGAATGAATGTTGTAATCTCAGTACAAGAGACTTAGAAAGGAGATTGAGAATTCTAGGCCAGCCTAGACTACATAGCAAGTTCAAGGAGAGACTGAACTTTAAAAAAAGACCTTGTCTCAAAAAATTAACAGTTAGAAATGTATGTCAGTGGTTGAGCACTTCCGTAGCATGCACAAGGCTGGGTTTGATTCCCTACACTGAGAAAAAGAAGGGGGGGGGGGGGAGGGGGTGAATGAATGAATGGGCTAAATCCTTTAGTGTTGAAAAGTTTGTATTCTATTTGAAACTGATCTGAAATACCTGATTTCTAAGTAAAATATTAACTTTATTACATAACAATGATTTTTTTTTAAATATTTGAAAACATAAGCAGCCTTTTATATATAAACTAAAATGTAACCAGTCTTTAAAAGATATGTATGAGGACTGGAGAGATTGCTCAGTTGTTAAGAACAATTGCTCCGGCCAGGCATGGTAGTGCACACCTTTAATCCCATCACTCGGGAGGCAGAGGCAGGCAGATGTCTGTGAATTCAAGGCCAGCCTGATTTACATAGTGAGTTCCAGGACAGCTGGGGCTACAGAGAGAACCTGTCTCCAAAAAAAAAAAAAAAGAGAGAACAATCGCTCTTCTTACAGAGGACCCAAGTTCAATTCTGAGCAAACACATCTGGTGGCTTATAACTGCCTGTAACTCCAGCTCCTGGGAGTTCCAACACCTCTGGTTTCCACAGGCACCTCCTGCACTCATGTGCACAACACACACACTTTTAAAATATTCATTAGTTTGTTTATTTATTTATTTATTTATTTTTTAATTTTTTGACAGTCTCCCTAGTCCCAGCCTGCCTGGAAGTCACTATGTGGACCAGGCTGGCCTCAATCTCAGAGATCTGCCTGCCTCTGACTCCCGAGGGCTGGAATTAAAGACTTGCACCACCATACCTAGCACACATACTTTAAAAAAAATTTTTAAAGGTATGAATGATAACCATTAATAATAACAAGTACTGTGTAGTGGCATACACCTGTTATTCTAGCACCCAGGAAGCAGAGGCAAGGGGATTCTCACAAATTTGAGACCAGCAAGTGCTATAGAGTGAGATCTTAAAACATCTCCAAATAAATGGATAAATAAATAGCCAGTAACTTCTTAAAGTAATAGTTCTTTTCACTTACTATATACTTGTTAAAAAATTTATAAGAATCTACTTATTCTATGTTGTAATTAAAAAAAAAAAAAGTTAAAACCTCATTCATTTATGTCTTATAAGGGTTTGGAAATTGTTATTGAATATGTTAATGCTGTAATGAAATGCTTCTAATCATGTGGTTATTAAATAATTTTAAAAAAATAAAAAAAATAAATAAATAAATAAAAATTATAAGAAAGTCAGGTGTGGTTGTAAGGTGCATTTAATCCCAGCACTCAAGAGGCAAAGGCAGGAGGATCTCTATGAGTCCAAAGCCAGCCTGGTGTACATAGTGAGACCCTGTCTATTTTTAAAAAAAGGGACTGGAGAGATGGCTCAGTGGTTAAGAACACTGGTTGCTCTTGCAGAAAACCCAGGTTCGAAACCCAGCACCCACATGGCAGCTAACAACTGTCCGAAACCCCAGTTCCAGGGTATCTGACAGCTTCTTCTGTCCTCCGCGGGCACTGCACGTCACGGGTGCACTTATCTACATGCAGGCATAACACTCATACACATAAAATAAAAATAATAAATAATGGGGCTGGAGAGATGGCTCAGCAGTTAAGAGCACTGACTGCTCTTGCAGAGGACCCAGGTTCAATTCCCAGCACCCACATGGCGGCTACGAACTGTCCTTAACTCCAGTTCCTGGGGAATCCGAAACCCTCTTCTGACCTCCGCGGCATCGCACAACACAGGTGTGCTCACATACATGCAGGCAATACACTCATACACATAAA